AATGGAGATTTCATCAAACAATTCAGATGAACTTCGGAAGGAACACTTTGCCAAATAAAGTATTGCGTTGAATCCCAACAAAACTAGGAAAAGAGAAGTAATAGATTCATGGTAACCCAAAAATGAATTAATTCAATTAAAAAGTCAAATCATCTTACACCTAAAATGTTTGCAACCCCTGTCGAATGAATAATACATTATTTTCTTGACAAGTCCAATACAATGTGTCGTATTGTGTCATTGTTGTATGTTGTGTGAAAGATTTTATTTTATTTTTTATGAAACCAATTCATACGGTCCATCGATTGCATTTTAAATGCGATATATTAAAGACGCATAATAACGCTATCCGTATCTCCGTGTCAGATGAAATGTCACCACCCCTATTCATCCCGTGGGTGTCGTAAGAGCCGACTAAGGGAGCAAACTACGCAGGACAAAACAGCACTGCAAAGAGACGGAAAACTTGACTATTAAAGGACTATTAAAGGCTGTTGATGAATATTTTTATACTACGACTGTCTATAAATACGGTATAGGGGGGGCAAATAAGTGACCGTTCGCCTGATGGTAAGTGATGAACACCTGCACCTCAAAAGTCACCAGTGCGCTGCCACCCTTTAATTCCCCGCCCCCCCAGAATTAGAGGCAGGGAGGGTTTGGACTCCAGTAACCTCACTCGGTAGGATTCCCCCGATACCCATGATTTAAGGTTGAAGGGGGTAAGGTAGGGTCTCCGGTAACCTCAATCATTCGGTGAAAAGCAAAAAAGGAATTGCTGAACATCAGTTTCAGTCATAGCACTGTTCATTTCAGACATTTAATGGAAATTGCCTTTAATCTAATAATATGATTAGTAGCGTAGTGGCTTACTTCCTATAGCGCCGAGTGTTGTGGGTTCGATCCTCACATATGACAACCTACACCGGGACCTAACCTACCTGGGACAACCCTATGTGTCCACATATTTATTTATTTATCTCTTTATTGTAGACCATTGAAGTATTATTTATACAGATATTAAATACATTTCGGTAAAACAATAGGCGGATATTGTAAAAAAAAAAAGTCTAGGTGTTCTTTGTGTCTGTTTCATAATTATTTGTCTAGCCTTCCACAACACAGGACATATTCCTAGTACTAGAGTTGGCAAAAAAAAGCAACACAAAATATCTCCTTTGCATCGTCATATCCCTCCTCCAACACTTTCATTACAGGAATTACCATTCAAATCATTACTATAATTAGAATAATGATGACTTTCACAACCTTTCTTACGATGACATTAAATTATGACATCAGATAGCGAAAAACAGCCAACGTATCTACTTTCTGTTGAGCAATTCCTGGGATGATTCAAAGAACTTTCACTGCGATTAAAGAACGGAGCGACGACCCTATATTTCGGTCACTGTGCCATTAGGTAGACAATGGTACATCTGATCAGAGTGGGTGTATCATTAACATTTGATGTTTTCATTGTGAATGCTTTTGGTTACGACGTTACAAGATGCTTCTAGGATGATTTATTAGTACGGTTGTGTTGCTACATCCATAGATTCTGAATCTATTACTTTTGTTGGTAATACAAATAATCATAAACGACACATAACGTCAACAGCCTTGAATAGTCTACTGCTGGACTTAGGCCTTTCCTTAGAAAGGAGGTTTTGGCCTACTATAGCACGCTGGCCTGATGGCATATGATTTGTTTCAAGTTATTCTTCTCTTTAGATACAGTTTGCTGTTTTCCTGCGTAGTTTTTTCTGTGATGTTTTTTGGGTGATGAATCTGGTTATTATTTAGGTCCGTTTCTTATAAGTTTGTAAAGTTCCGCGCGACACAGGATATATTCCTAATGCGGTGGGAGGTGTGAAATAAAAACAATCAGCCGGTAAAACTAATGCGTTATCGCTGCCGCTAGCCGAACGAGAATAGCAGTCGGGGCGCGGAGGTGAAGGGACCAGCCTTACTAGAATGTGTTGAACAGTTTAAAATTACACAAACAAATATTGCAATCCGGGGCGGGTATCCAGTTGCTTATATGTATTTTTATTTAATCATTAATCGATCTTCAAAATACACAGTAAAATTTTACACTATGATTAACGAGAATGGTTAGGTTTGTGTAAATTATGTAAAGAATAAAGGCCTTGAACGGTGGTGAGGTCAGTTACATTATATTACATATACATAATTATGTAATCTTAATCACTTATGATCTTGATTTAAGCACATTGAAATCCGTAATACGTTTTGTTTAAGACTAATAATATTTAAGCTCTTTATGAGCCAAGAAAAATTACTATTTTACTAATATTTTTATGTCTGCATGTATCTGAACGCCATTTTATTATGGATTGGTGACCAGCGCAACTTCCTGCGTCCTTTAAAATTTATAAGTATAAAAAAACAAGTTTTTGCAACATTTTTGCAATAAATAAATAAACTGTACTAACGCCTAAATGAATTATTTTAGCAAACGTACATATGTAATATTTTTTATATCATTTTAGTTATAACTAAACTGATCTTAATATATTTTGGGCTTGGTGAAATGAAATGATGGCAAAATTCCCGACATTAGATACACACGAAATTTTCAATGGGTGTCGGTTTTTAGATAGTTTGTACTTTTCTCCTAATGGCCACTCCAAGTACAGGATACATATAATTATGGTATGGGAAATCGTCTTCTTCGAACTACTGTAGTGTCAGTCTCATTTCCAATTCGGGACTTGTAGTACCTAGTTCCTTGTCCTTTGTGTTTTTATTGCTCCTCCGTGTGGTAACGGATTAAGAATACGGAGTGTCACCACCCCTATTCATCTGGTAGATGTCGTAAGAACCGACTAAGGGAGCAAACTACGTAGTATAACAGCACTGCAAAGAAAATTAAAGCTTGACACAAACCCTATACCAACCCGTCTGGCCAGCGAAGTATAGTATCGTAAAACCGCCTTTCTGGAGAGGCCTAGGTCCAGCAGAAAACTATTAAAGGCTGTTGATGTAATTACTCCACCTTATTGGTTTGTCCCTTTTGAAAATGTTTATCTTCCCAAGGAGGCAAATTTAAGACACTACGTAATTAAGATTGTTAGGTTTCATGAATACCAACGATTATTAGTACTTAGTTATCTTATTTAAATATCGATTTGATTTATTTAACTGGCAACACTCGTGTTTTCTTAAAAAATGAGCCGGCTGTTTTTGGGAAGTCACTTTTTTGGAAGCTGGCATCAAAAACAGACATCTTGGTAAGTACGCACCTAATTTTGTACTTGAAAGACAGAATAGATTGTTCTGATTAATCATTTGTTCATTGGAATCTGCAGGATCCCAAATAACTATTGCTAAAACTATGAAACTATTGTTGTCGAGGGTATCTTTGAAAAATACACTCTCGTTTATTACTGCATTTTGTTACAAGATCAATACTCTAAAAATAATTATTACTTAGCTATCTGCTCCAAACATTAGTAGGTAATTTGAAAATCTACCTATAACAAAACAGCCAAGTCGGTTTCCTAAATAGTACAAACTGTTGACAGAGACATGGAAGTTCAGTTATAAGGTTCTGCGAAATACGGTAGACAATCCTACTTATTCTTTTTTTATTTCGTTTTGTTTTGGGAAATCTTAGATATAACAGTATTTTTATGCCTGTAAGCTTGACTATAAAAAGAAGACACCTAAGTGATGAGGGAACATAACAATTTATATATTTGTATTTAAAAAATAACTAAATACACTAGGAATAATTTTATTAATCACATTATGATTATGCATTATTTTTAGACTACCCGCCTTAGACGTAATATACCTATGTCAGTATACGTTTAAGTCCTCGTTAATTGGTACTTCAAAAATAAAAATATCGATAGACTGTTTTGTTTTTGCTCATTTAGGTATAGATATTATGTTTTTATGTATTGCATTTTTTCAAGTTTTAAATGAATATTTTCGTATTTACCTAGTGTCTTTACTGTGATTGTTTGTTAGTTTTTGTTTGTTGGTGTTAGTCTTTACTATAGTGGTTTGTGTAACGGAATGCTATTCCTAAGGTCGCGAGTTCTATTCCCGGTCGAGTCAAACATTTGTGGGCATGAACATTTAATGTTTGATTTGGTCCGGGTGTTTCTATGTATAATAAGTATGTATTTACAAGAAAAAAAGTATATGTATTTATATCAGTTGTCTAGTAGCTTAGATTGGGACTAGATGGCGTTGTGTGAATGTGACAGAATATTATTATATTATTAGTTAATATTTCAGGTGAGTGAATTTATATTCTTTAAATAGAATACTCTCGTTTCATATTATGTACCTGTATACTATATACTAAGTATGTTAAATGTGAGGTCTGTCTGTCTGTAACCTCTTTACTCTTAAACCACTGAACCGATTTAGATGAAATTTGGTATGGAGATAGTTTAAGTTCTGGGATTCTTTCCCATAGGAAAGATTTATATCCCAGAAGTGAAAAAGGAGGTAGAAGTTTGTATGAATAACCGCTGGACCGATTCCGATGAAATCTGGAATGGGGATAATTTGATTCTTGATAAAGGATATAAGATAACCGACATACATGCGTGCGGAGCCGCGTGCAAAAGCTAGTGTTCCATAAATATGTAAGCGAGTTATTAATTTTAATCAGCTCTTTTCCATAATATTGTCTTATTAGTAATTTTTGTATGTGGTATCATATCAGTATTTAAGCAACCTGCTAGATTCTGAAGACACTAAAGGTGTACTTGTGAATGTCGAAAGATAGTGTTGAGAAATTACTAGACTAATATCATAAAGTTGAAGAGTTTGCCTGTTTGTTTTGGCTGAACGCGCCAATCTCAGGAACTACTGGTTCGAATTGAAAAATATTTTAGTGTTGGATAGTTCATTTAACGAAGAAGGCTAAAAGTTATAAACCAATAGGAGCCGTGCACGTTTAAAAATTTATTCCTCAGCTAATCGCAGTATAAATAATTTGTTGCAGAATCGAAATGGAGGCATTGGTGTTTGATCCGCAATCACTATCATTGAAATACCATAAATATTACCCTATACCAGAAATATCGAACGATGATGAAGTTATCGTGAGGGTTGACCACACTGGTGTGTGCGGTACTGATCTACACATTATTCAGGTATCATCATCACCAGCCTTTAATAGTCCACTACTGGACATAGGCCTCTCCTTAAAAGGAGGTTTATTAACAGGTATGAACGTTACTAATTAGAAGTACTGTATCGCGGGAGAGTCGGCTTCATCACAAATGGGCCGGCCTTACAGAAAGTACCGAGAGTATGTGAGACCCACCATCCCCCAATTCTAAGAGGAGAGACTTAAATACACTGTGAACCTGGAGTTGAAGGTGTTTATGGACAGTGGTAGTCACTCGTATCCTATCTGCTCATTTGCACCATTATCACTGTGTTACTGCCCAACTTGTTCTTGGATAGGTATAATTTCTCTATAATATATTTTTTTTAATAAAAGACAACTCCCGTACCAGGAATAAATCCTTTACAAACATACATGTAACGGACACAAAGAACACCCAGAATCGGCACAACAATTTGTGGATTACACAAAGTGTTGTCCCATGTGGGATCGAACCCACAACCCTCAGCGCAGTAGAGATCGGCGAGGTGACCACTTAAACTACTACGTCATCCGTGCAGTCGTATTTATAAATATGCGATAAGTATGTTTATCAGCAGTCTGGTTACCATAGCACAGGCTCTGCCTAATTTGGAATCAGACGGCCGTGTGTGAGATGTGTGAAGTTATTATTATTATTACTGTATTATGGTTCAACACCTGAGACGATAACACTCCTTTGGAATGGGAATCGGATAGACCGAATGAGAGAGCTTGAGCAACCTCACTCACTCAGTGAAAAGCTGCGACAAAATAGCTTAATACCGGTTTTCAGCCGGCCCGTGGCATCGCTCCATTTTAGCCAGCCGTTATGTGCCGGAGTATATATATGTTCATAATCTAACTCAAAAATTAATGTTTTCAGGGTGAATTTCCAGTACGCAACGATCGCCCATTTCCCCTGGGTCATGAATTTTCTGGCTTTATCCACGCTGTGGGCAAGAACTCCACATTTAAACTTGGACAGAGGGTTGCTATTGATCCCAACAGGTAAGAATTTTGAAGTTACACCAGCTGGTACTCGTTTTCTCAACTGCATTGAATCTCTTTCATAAACTTTCAACCTCTGTACGACAAGTTTTTTTTATGGTGCAGTGGCCCATGGCCCAGTGGTTTTGACTGCACGGATGGCGCATTGGTTTAAGCGGTCACCACGCTGCTTACGAAAGGGTGTCTCAGTAAGAGTGCACTTTTTCATTTTAAAATTGTCGAGTACTCCCATCGCATCCACAGCGGATCGGGGCTAATCGGGTTTCTTCGGGGGACCAGGTGGACAGTCAGCCTCAGATACGATACCACACGGCCACGCTCGCGCATATCTCACTCACTAGTCTCATTTAAACAATCCACTGAGGTATCGTCGGCACCAAAAATAAAAACACGTATTTTATAAGAGTTGTGATATTTTTATTGGATTGTACTGAAAACGTGTTCCGATTAAGTATGAAATAAAATATCCGGCAAATGGCCCCCACGGCTCTGATGAAAGGCCGTTACTCTGTTCATGAGATTTTCCATGACTTTTACAAACAAATGTGGCTGTATCTCACCGATGATCGTTGGATCTCTGATTTTAGCTTAGGAATTGTTTCTGGTTTATTCGCATAAACCGGGGATTTCACAAAACCCCAAAGAAAAAATCGCACGGCGTTAAATCGTACGATCTTGGTAGCCAGTTGACATCAGAATCTCGTGAGATAACGTGTTCTGGAAATGCAATAAGTCGATTGTTTCATGCGCCGTATGGCGCCGTCTTGCTGAAACCACATGTTTTCCAGATCCCTGCCGTCCCGTTGAGGCCACAAGAACCCCGTTATCATATTCCTGTAACGAATGCCGTTCACAGTCACTGCAATTTCAGCCTCATCTTCAAAAAAGTAAGGACCTACTACTAAGTAAAAGAGTTAGTTGTGGGTGCATTTATTTTTTATAGATTGGATGAGGAATAACTGAGGATCAAATTCGACAATTTTGTGTATTCACGTAGCCATTCAGATGGAAATGCGCTTCATCGGAGAAGATGACTTTTTTCGAAAAATTGGCATCGGCTTCACTTTGCTCCATTACCCATTGTACGAATGGCCGGCGCTTTCCATGGTCTACTGGTTTGAGCTCCTGAGTTAGCTGAATCTTGTACTCATAAAGGTGGAAGGAAAAGCGCTCCATTTTTAATAATTGAAATAAACATAGGTGACAACTGTTAAATTTCAGAGTTGCCCATTGCGCGAAAAAGAAAAAGATTCTTAATTTAAAAAGTCCCCTTTACTACGTGTTGTGAGTCGGATTCCCACATGGGACGACATTTTGTGTGATCCACAAATTGTTATTCTGAGTCTGGGTGTTTTTTGTGTCCGTTTCATGTATGTTTGTAAAGTCCCCCGCGACACAGGATATTCCGGGATCTGTCTTTTTTTTAAAACAAAAATACAAAAACGAACTAGCAAACGGGCAGACGCATCCCTGATGGTGACTACAACCTGCAACTCACAGAGTCACAAGTGCGTTGCAGCTCTTTGAGTATCCTCCATGTATCAATCCTCAATCAATTCAGGAAGAATGACTCTCTAAAGAGACACTTGCATGTGTGAGATATGTCAAGTTCATCATCATCAACAGCCTTCAATAGTAGATATAGACTTCTCCTCAGAAAGAAGATTTTGGCTAGTAGATCTAGTCTATCTAGTTTTCCTTCTGTTTGCAGTGTTTTTGTCCTGCATAGCTTATAATGCAATATGTCAAATTATTATTGTATTAATATCTACTAATAATAATAACTTTTATAAAAAGAATATCACCAACAGTTGTATACACTGATACAAAGACATAAGATACATTCAATAAACTTATAACCTACAGTGTAACAATTTCTTATAGGTAAGCACATAACGCAATACTAATTTGTTAACAATATAATATTTTAAACTATTTTAATACTTGTACTAAGATACTGAACATTAGACAAAAATATCTGGAAATCAAAGTTACATAACCAGAACTATAGCGGATCAGATATACGGACTCTTTCACAAGCCTTTATTGAGGGATATCATATTAAAATGTTTATGTTTGTCTCTGTACGATGATTTCTTGTTGGCCATCCCGGAAGAATGTGCTAAATGCCACAGAAATCGTTTTTGAACCGTTTCTAATCTTAGTGTGTGGCTGGCATTGTGAGGTCTGAGAACCACACAATTATAAAGTAAAATTTTAGTCTTACTGTGACAGAAACGAGTTATGTTCTTAATAACAAACCCAAGCATTTTTGAGGCTTTTTTAACTACGTACATATTGGATGTGAGGGATAAAAGTTAACTGCCTATCGAATAAAAATCCCTAGTCCCTTATCTGTTCCACTTCTTGTACCGAATTGCGGCAAATATGATAAATGGATGGTTTTAATTTTTGTTTTTCTAGTTAATTTCATGTCATTATCATTACGCCACTCTACTAACATGTCGATATCCTTCTGCAGCAACTCAACATCAAGATTGAATGTGTCAATTACATGGCAAAATTTTAATTCGTCAGCATATGTGAAGCACTCAGAAAATTTTACCCTTTTTTTTTTTTTTCCGTGCGGAAATCCCCTCGGATACCACCTATCGGTGGCATGTCGGACTCGAACCGACTAAAACCGCACGCCGTCTCGGGTACTAATAGCCGGAGAACCAGGTATACCCTAGAAAGGAAGTCCCTGGTGCCCCGACATACCTCGGGCCATCTACAGACGAGTAGACGACCCCCCCGTGTTCCCTCTGCTCCCCGGAAGCGAGCGCGCTTCGCAACGCGCTCGCCGCCACCCCGGCCTGCTTCTGCTAGGGTGACAGATGGCCTCACCTGTCACCCCCAGGCCTGCGCTTATGGAGGACGGAGGTCATTCTACGACCTCCGGCGCCTGAGTCGCCTGCGGTACCTGGCCCGTTCCCGGGCCTGGCTGGCCGGGAGAGTTCTAAACCTCTCCCGGTCCCGCTCCGCCGTCTCCTTCGCGAGCATAACTTGCTCGCAGAAGGAGACGGCAGAGTTCCACGCACTCTCGCTCCGCACGATAGCCGCAATCAGGCTCTCGAGCGAGAGAACTCCCACTCCGATGGCTGCCACGAGGTCTCGCCTCTGCTCAACCCACGCCGGGCACTCCGCCAGCGTGTGGAGAGCCGTGTCCACGGTCTGGCCATCGCAGTGGTGGCACTCAGGCGTTGGCTCCTTGCGGATCAGACACAGGTGATCCCCGAAACATCCTTTCCCAGTGATCACCTGCGTCAGTCGGTATGAGAGGGTCCCGTGACGCCTCTCGAGCCAATCCTCCATAACGGGTCTTACCGCCGCGATGACGGCGTGCCCAAAAAAATTTTACCCTACTGGGGAGATCATTAATAAAATAAAACTGGGCCAACATGTGATCCCTGCGGGACGCCTAAAGTGACTTTGTAGGACCTTGACCTTAGAATGGTATATATTGAGGGCAACAAAAAAGGAACGCCCGTCGAGTTAGGACTTTAACCAATTGAAAAGAGAGCCAGTGATGCCGAAAGCAGTTAATTTCTGTAAAAGTATATTATAAAGGGCGCGATCAAAGACTCTGCCAAAATCGATATATATCACGTCGACCTGTTCCACAGAGTCAATTGCGCAAGTTAGTGTCTCCATGAACGTTACCAGGTTTGTGCAGGTAGATCTAGAACTCACAAAGCCATGTTGAGAATCAATAAGGAAAAGTTTCAAATGAGACTGTATGTATGGACAAATTAAGTAAAACCTTGGCGAAAACGGATAATATTAAAATTGGCAAATATAATTTATAAATAAAACTCATTAATCTCTTCTGACTCTTTCAGTGGCTGCCAACTTTGCGATTGCTGCCGCTCCGGGAAATACCAGCACTGCCTAACTGCTGGTCTCAACAGCTATATTGGGATCTTCAAAGATGGTGGTTGGGCAAAGTACTGTAAAGTACTTCAACATCAGGTGTACGCATTGCCTGATGGTATCACCAATAAGCAAGGTATGAAATGTCATACATTTGAAAATACCACCACAACATCATTCTCATCATTTTTTCCCCAATTTTTATTAATTCAGTCTACACCTTCTTCTATTGTATTATATTATTCGCCATTACACTTTTAGTCATTTTTTTTTTTCGTCCTCTCTTGTATCCGTTGATTTACAATATTTAACACTTCTTTCTCCTATTACAATAATTTTACATTTCCTCTATTTCTCAGGCTTGTCCCTTTTTAGACCTCATAGTCTCGAATCACATCACATCACATCAACAGCCTTTAATAGTCCACTGCTGGACATAGGCCTCTCCTTAGAAAGAAGGTTTGCAGTCTCGAATAGAGAATACATATATATATTTTTTATGATAGATGGGGCAAATCAGCAGACATGAGCACGCGTGGATGGCGGCAGGCACTTTCTATCAGGTGACCCACCTGATGGGAGGTGACTACCGTCGCACATGAACGCCTGACCATCTCCCTTCTATAATCCGTATAGCAATGGAGGCTGCTCGTTTGCAGCATGTCATTGACATGCAGAGGAAACAGTGTGATAGCACACAGCCGGGTCACCAGCATTTACACATTTGAAATCGGAGCATGCATCATCGACAATGACCTTAGTGCTTCTTTCTGCAAGGAATCTGCTGTCCCAGTTACTATAAATAAAATTGATTTTGTCGAAATCCAGCTTGCTTCGCAGAGCCTCTCTCCTGCGTGGCACATAGTTTTAACCGCGCCGGCCCTCTCAAAGTTGGAGAAAAGATCCTCATCATCGGTGCTGGTATCATTGGTGAGTGAAAAATAATAATAATATCTCACTCACTGCTGTGATCCTGATCACGGAGTTAAGGGATCGAGTCCCATCCAAAACAAATAACTGATGAATTATCAAGACAATTTCTTTGCTTTATTTAGTACTATTATCTATTCTGTCGTTTTTCTGTCTTAGTTTAGTTTATATGTTATTTTAGAATACGAATTTAGTAGTAGTTTATCAGCAAACTGGCTACAGTAGTAGAGGTTCTGCCGAGTTTCAGACTATTTTTTGATGAAAGAGGGAGCAAACGAGCAGACGGGTCACCTGATGGTACCACCACCCATGAACCCCTGCAACTCAGTATTCAGAAATGCGTTGCCGGCCTTTGAGGAATAATTAAGCTCTTTTCTTGAAGGTTTAAAGGTCGTATAATATATATATAATATATCTCACACACTCACACACGGCCGTCTGATCCCAAACTAGTCAGAGCCTGTACTATGGTAACCAGACCGCAGATAAACATATTTATATATTTCTAAATACATACATATTATAGATAAATTACCCCCTTTATTCCGTATCGTTCCGGAAATACCGCAAATAACTTGTTAAACAGAATCCACGGATTAGATAACCGTGTGTAAGGTGTCTAAAGTTTTTATATTGTTTTCTTTTTGGTCAGGTAAACTCTTTGCATCTGCTCTGTACTACCAAGGCCACAGAAACGTCACCGTCTCCGAAAAGATTGAAAAACGACTGGACATTTTCAGAAGGATGAGTAAATTTCAAACTTATTTATTTATCTCGGAATTGCCAACTAGTTTTTAGCGCCGCATAAGATTCGGGTACCAGACTCGAAACATAAAACAATGAGTCGTAAGGCATATTCTTATTTAAGTACTTACACGTCATGGCACACTGTCATGGCACCGCAACGACACAGCTCACACCCAAAGATTAAATTGTCAATCGAATGTGACCATTAAATCGCATGTCGTACAATACATTTCATAACGTCAATACGACTTTAAAAAGGCAACGGCAGGTTGTTTTACACTTACATCATCACACATCAACAGCCTAAGTCCACATGCAGCCTATGTACAAGTCCACTACTGGACATAGGCCTCTCCTTAGAAATGAGGTTTTGGCCTATTATACCACGCTGGCCAGACGGGTTGGTATAGGGTTTGTTTCAAGTTTTCCTTCTCTTTGCAGTGCTGTTGTCCTGCTTAGTTTGCTCCCTTAGTCGGCTCTTACGACACCCACGGGATGAATTGGGGTGGTGACAATTTGTATTCTTAATCCGTCACCACACGGACTTCACACTTACACATTTATTTATTTAAGTACCAAAAGCTCAGTCACACAACAAAAACGCTTATTTGCTATACTATATTGGATTAGATACACAGACCACAGTGCATTATTATACAAAATAATACATTAAACTATTTATATAAATTACAAATAACTAATAATTCAATCACACTTAAATAGCCACTAAAGTCAAGGCAATAAACTGTCATGAAATAAATAATTAAAGTAATAAGATGTCATGAAAATTACCAATATGTCAATAAATATTAATAGCTTTACAGAGTACATTATAGGTAATAGTTATTTATGAGTATTTAAATTAATTTAGGTAAACTGACAAAAAATATGTCTACATTTACATTATTTAGAAAAAAAAAACATTAATTAGATAGCTTTTCCCGTGGGGCTATTAATAGCTTGTTGCGTGACGCCACGTTGTAGGGGAGTCGGTGATGGCGACGACAAAACCGCGCAAACAATTATTTGGTATATACAAATTAATGCATTCACGCACTGATGGATTGTCTACCGTATCGTGAATTAGCAACAAATAGTGCACAATTTAAATAAAGTTTCATCTAAGCTCATGTGTATCAAGTCGAGAAAGGGTAAAAACCATACTCCCGCTTGTACAGGTATCGGTAAAATTTACGCTGTATTCTTTCAATGGAAAGGTTATATATTTTTTCTTGAGGGGTCCACACTATTGAATGGTATTCCAGTCTAATAGATACGTAGGCATTATAGAGCAATTGAATAGGCTGTTTGGTTTTAAATTGGGATCTAGGCGTATTAATGAAACCCAGAGCTTTATTAGCATCTTTACATATTTGCCTTATATGGTCGTGAAAGTTTAGCTTTTGATCAAGACTTAACCCTAAGTCTCGTATTAAGCTGACACGCTTGAGAAGTGTGCCAGCGCATACGTCACTGATACTGGGACGCGAGAACGAGTAAAATTTATCATTATACATTTTGATGCATTAAAGGACAATTTATTTCTTACACTGCATTCATAGACTGAGTCTATGTTAGATTGTAGTTCAACACAATCTGCAGTTTCGGCGACAGATAAAAATAATTTCAGATCATCAGCCTTTAGAGAGAACGCTTGGAAGATCGTTTATTATTATAAGAAACTGGGTAGGTCCTAGACTTTGACTTACACCTGATAGAGTAAAGTATTTATATGATTTATAGTTTCCCACGTTTACATATTAATTGCAGTCTTTTAAGTAGTAAGCCACCAGGCATCGGCGAGCGAAACACCGCTTCATCGTCGCCCGCGCTACGTCCTCTTGTATAACCAGGGCTTTTAAACTGTACTAAGCCGGCTCCTGCGACTGAGACCCCACTCAGACCGAATCAACTGGATCATCTCGTCGGAATTGTCTTACCAAAAGCTTTCTATATATTACAGGTACTGGCTTCAGACTAATCAACCCGGATATATTAGAACAGGAGAAGATGCTTTATGATGTCATCATTGACTGTACAGGTAAAAAAATACATGTCAAAGTTTCAACTCAAAATAACACATTTCTAGACTTCATAATTGTCGGATTCACTGACGTGCACGAGTGTCCTGGTTTTTGTAATTGATAAATCTAGTATAAAGTACATTCACCGGAGATATATAACCTAAGTAGCGACCCGCCCCAACTTCGCACGGCTGTAATATATATTACATATCTATATTATACAAAAAATGGTTATTCTAGCTAAACTATATATTTACTCGATTCTTTGTGCGTATTGATGAGTAGGTTCAAAATATATAATTTTTTAATGTGGTATTAAAGCAAATATTTTTTTTGCACTTTTACATACCTTGCTTCAAAATATCCTAATTTTTAGGGAAAATTAAAAAAATATAGTCCCTGTTACTCGCTGATAATGAAGCTTTCTATAGTGAAATATAATTTTAAGTCGGGCCCGTAGTTTCGGAGCCCATTAATTACAAATAAATCTTTCCTCTTCATAATACGAGTATAATTTATTAATGAAGATTATAAGATAGTTATTTTGCTCAAGTGGAAACACCCATGAATCATCAGACCCTCCAGAGTCGAGAAAGAAGTGTTATGTCAGACTCGAACCGACTATACTATACGGTGCTCTGCCACAAGTGATTTTATTTAGGGGAGTTGGGGACCCGGGATAAACGAAGAAGTCAGGGACTAAGAACCCCTGTAGACTTGGACCGCCTGATGAGCAGGTGAACACACCATGAAGTACGCCATGTGGCTTCACTCTGCATTCTCTTCCGCATATATCATGGAGAATGCTTCGAGGAATTGTTCGGACTAATACCAGCCGAAACTTTCCGTCATCGTTCCACACGGCAAAATTTTCATCCTCGTCACCTGGATAGTTGGCGCTCCACTACCGTGCGCTTTTCGAGACATTTTTTCCCCGCACAAGTAATCTGTGGAACGGGTTATCGTCTGCGGTATTTCGGGACCGATACGATCTTCAAACCTTCAAGTAAAGAGCGTACTCCTTCCTAAAAGGCCGGCAACGTAACTCCTGAGTTGCAGACGTCCATGTCTGCGTTTCTGACATAAAAAAAAAGAAAAACGCCTAACCCCTATTTTTACAGGTGTCGCGAAAGTTATGGAGACAAGCGTTGATTATATGAAACAAGGGGGCCGGTACATCCTCTTTGGATGCTGCCCACCCTCGGAGACGGCTAGGTAAAGTACTAAATATATTTCTCAGAAGTGACTCTAAAGTTCGATTTAGGAATTATATGGCAAAAATGGGAATTCAATATGAAAAGAAACACATGGGACAAAATCACAGTGCGCTGTGAACACAGACTGGATGTTCTGGGATTTATCATTTGATTTTTTCGTATGTAGGTTAGGGTTGCTACTTTACTCACGCGTTGTTGCCAGTAAGCTGTTTTCAGACGATGCATAAAGGCCCTATTTCGACTATTTAACAGTAAATCTAGTAATTATATTATTTTAGATATCTACCATTCCCAACATAATAATTAAAAAAATAAGATATACTGTTAAATAGCATCTGAAAATAGCTTATTGGCCACAACACGTGAGTAAGTGTCAACCCTAACCTACGTAAGAAAAATCGAATGATAAATCCCAGTTCACTGTCATTTTGTCATGTCTATAGTAGGAAAGAGATTGCGTATTCGAATGGATGTGGTTTGTGAGTAACAGCTCTAGTAAGTCAGGGTCTGTCACCTGTAACTGGAACCGGCTGTTGCTGGAGTATCCGAGATATATAAAACTATTTTGACGTCCTAATTTCGGGCTAGGTTCTTCAGGAGTTAGATGGGAAATACTAAAAAAATCTATTTATCTAGCACTGGTAAAATATAGGCATAATAAAGCAAGAAAGTATTGGAAACACGTTAAAATATGAATAGGTTTATTTGACCATCTCAAAATTTTAAAGTAGTAACCCACCCTCACGTAGGCTAGAGGGTGAATATACCACTAACGATCTAAAAAATTGGATGGTCAGCCGTCGGTAAGATCTTTACAGGGTGAGTAAACACCCAACCAAATTTGGAGTATAATAACAGAAGGAAAGTGAAAGAGATGACGAAAAGGGAAATATGTGAGCCCCATCAGTTCTTTATTAAAGTTCTTTGCTTCTGTGTGTTTCTCGCCTATCTGTAACGTGTGCATATAAGGAATTTATTATTTCATTTTCCAGTATCAATCTTTACCAGATCTTCGACAAAGAATTAACCATCATTGGAGTGAAGACCAATTCCTTCAGCTTCCCCACCGCAATCGAATGGATTAAGGTTATGGGTGAGAGGTATTAGTATTATCCAATAACATATACACACGTGATTTACAATTTTAAACTTTCGTAATTGTTTGTTTTGTTATTCTTTGTGCTATTCTTTAGTTAAGGGTAGTGTTTTTTCTCTTTTTCTCTTTTATACTATATTTCTTTTTTCTTTTGTATTGTGGCTAATGAACGTGTTTTTTTTCTTTCTTTCTATTTACCATAACATATTGTCTGATAAAGAAGTACCTTAGAAGACCTAGTAAGTTCCCCCATAACATTTGTGTGAAGAGCACGATCGTTTGTTCTGTGTCTGGATGTAATTTATTCGCAGTCTGGTTACCATAGTAAAGGTTCTGCCTAGTTTGTGATCAGACAGCCGTGTGTGAGATGTGTGAGGTTATTATTATTATGACTCAAAGTAATGTTGGAAGACTACTCAAGGTGGAAGTTAAATAAAAAGTTATTGAAGTCTATCGAATTATTTTTCACCCGTAGGAGTGCCATGCTTGGACGTGTTTGATCACACCAAAAACCGGCGAAAAACCGGTGCCGTAAACGGAGAACTAACCATCGCTCCTATCTCCCTAACTCATGGGCACTTGCGCTTTTTGCCCATGGGTATAACGTAGGGTCCTAGACGATCATGGCCAGTGGTAGTTACTTTCTATCGCTGTTTTTGTTGGCGATGTTGCGAATCTTATCTATCTTATCTGTGTATAATGTGTAGAACTCCTTCCTCTTAGCCGCGTTTTCTTTGTTTTTCCTAGCATCAGGAGTTTTCCAGGTTATTGCTCATTTTCCCGGCTATCCTGGATTTCTTCTGTAGTGACTGAAATGGTCACATCATAATATAGATATTAAAGTGAGTGTGGGCTAGAAATGATTTAATTTATGTGATATTCAGTTCTATCACTGTTCTTTAGATACCTGGAGTACCATAAACTTGGCGTGAAGACATACTGGCTTTCAGAATATGAAACTGCTTTAGCGGATTTGAGGACTGGACGTGTGGCTAAGATTATCTTCAAAACTGCATCACTACCATTAATGTAACTTACAATCTACAATAAAATGTTTTTTTCTGTTATTTAGAATTTTTTTCTTCCATTTTAATCACTCGAAAGATCTGTTTACTGCCTAGCCATATCATATTTTACGTAATATTTCATTGCATTGCAAAGTAATTTTGGCTTAATTAATATTGACTCTTTTTGCACAGACGCCTGCCTGACGCCAGCACTCTTTCTGAATGTATCGTTCGACCTTCATAGTATAAAACAAAATGCTGTTAAGCAAGTGTTCAGGTCAAGTGTTTTAATTTTATTTTCGCAATACAGTAATTTGACTTTGAAGACTTGCTTAATTATTATTTTTAAGAAATTTTCCGCAATAGGAATAAGTCTTGTGTCGCGGGGGACTTTACAAACATATATGAAACGGATACACTTTACAAATGACATGGTATGGTGGAATGGCTCCCACGATCCATTCGGCCATGGCTCCATTCGTAATGGATGGCTCAAATTCAAGAGTTTTTAAGAAGGGGACAACAAAGACTGACATTTAAAAAATAAATTAAAATTTATTAACATTTAATCAGAGTTAATCTTGAAGATGGCCTTGGAGACGGATCCAGTCTTCAGGTCTTCTAAAGCTGATTCGTACTCTGAAAGACGGTAGGTCTTGACTCCGAGCTTGTGATAGTCCACGTATCTGAGGAAAAAAAGTATTTTTAAAATACGCATAATAAGTATTATTTGTTTAAGTTGTTTAAACTTATTAAAAGAAAAATATTTTAAGTTTTCTGCATCGTAATAGTAAATGCGTAAACTGGTAGATCTATTTTGATTCAGGTGTCTTTCTTTTTAAAAGGTAATTTAAATTATCCCTTTGCGAGCCATAATTGAAGCTACGGAGAATATAGAAAGAAGTAGAAAACTGCTTGACTCTCAATTACTGTGCGTAGAAAAGAGAAAACAAAACGCGACTGTGTACCACAATGAAAGGTTATAATACCTGCTGCCCATAGCCTTGAGCCATCCGATAGCACTTGGGAAACTGAACGGGTTGATCTTCACTCCGATGATGGTCAATTCTTTGTTATATATGTCAAATGGGTTCAGGCTGAAAAATAAAATGTAAGTTAATCATTATCATCTCTCTCGAATAGTATTTGTAGTCCGCGCAATATTTCATATTGTGAATGAATTAATAGGACGAGTGGGCTGTCTAATATAACAACGCGTTTAGGGGGCTGATGGGGTTGCCACGTGTCTGTAGTGCTTTAGGGATTTTAGCAGAAGCCCGCATTGATTGCTTTTATACAGTAATGCGTAAGAGATGAGCTTCCCTGATAAGCATGGTGCAGGGCAGCACCAACAACATTCTGAAAATTATCTGTAGCCGAATGGATTGCGCGATCGTGAACCAGTGCTGCAGATTCTTTGCTGAACTTGCAGCATAATACCTACCTACGTCTCATGTTAGGTATTGGTTCATCTCATTGTGTTCGTTGTCTCTATTATTTATTAATCATAGCTATAAGTCAAATTGGTACTAACACTGAGTTTTATCACTCGATTGGCAATTAATAAATTAAATAAAGTAATGGTAAGTCTCGTATGGGAAACGGGATCTAAACTTCAGTAGCTTGTCCTCCCCCTGTTGGGGGGGGGGGGGGGATACTTAAAGAGTGACAACGCGCTAGTGACTCTTGAGTCGTAGGCGTCCATGGGTGGCGGTGGTCACTTACCATCAGTTGCTCCGTCGGGGCTCGTGTGCCCTCCTATACCTCCTTATTACATTGCATCAAGGATTATTTGCTGGTGCTAAAGCTGTATTTAATCAAATTATGAAATGAATAGAAAAGATCTATTTGATATTCTACTTTCGTCTAATGTAGTCTGATTCAATGTTCAGTAAGCTGGTACCACTCTCCAGAAATGAGTTTTGAACCTTATTGGTCTATTGTACACCATTCTCTGGGAAAAGTACAACAGGAAATATTTTCCATACCTGACTTGGTGAGTTGGTGGGCAGCAACCGAAGAGAACATACTTGCCGCCGGGCCTCATGTAATTGATACTTATCTCCATCACCTTGCCAACACCTGCAAGGAAAATATTTCTAAATTCACAAACAAAAATTCACCAACTTGTAGTTAACATCCGATCACCTAACTATTTATATCAGAACACTTCGACGAACAAATGAAGGTCGCGGGAGGCCTATGTCCAGCTGTGGACGTCTTTTGGCTGAGATGATTGATGATGGGCAGACTAATACTCGCAATTCTTGTTATGGACTCTATTATCCATATGAATAAATCCATTCGGTCGAAGACCGGTTCGTTATGGGGGGAGGGGGCGAAACACATTTGTGTCTCTTGAGTTGCAGGTGTTCAGGGGCGGAGTTAGTCACTAACCATCAGGTGACCCGTCTGCTCAATTGCTCCCTTTACCATAGAGCCACCCCCTATCACATAAATGCGTACATAATTATATTCCCTCGTATGGTCTGCACTGTGCATACGATCATCGATCGCTAACGCTCGGAATGTCACCACCACTGTTCATCCAGAGAAGGAAATCTTGAAACAAACCCTATACCAACCCGTCTGGCCAGCGTGGTATAGTAAGCCAAAACCTACTTACTAAGGAGAGGCCTATGTCCAGCAGTGGACTGTTAAAAGCTGTTGATGATCAACTATATCAAGGAGAAATTACCTGTGCAGTCAATGATAACATCGTAGAGGTTCTTCTCTTGGGCCAACACTTCTGGTCCGACTAACCTGTAGCCGGTATCTATAACATGTATAAAGTTTATGTACCTACAGTTTGAACAAGAGTTTTAAAAACTTAAAAAGGTCGAGACATTAAAAACAAGGTAACATCTGCCGTAAAGATCTAAGAAGGTTCGACTTTTTGATCCTTCGACCCAAGTTAATTTAGAAAGTCTTTTTTAATAGTTACTTTGATTGTAATAATAACTTACTCCATACGTTGAGTTAATAGGTTTTAATTCATCATATTTTAAGTAAGTAAGTAGATAACTATAATATGTACAAGGTACACAGAAATTGGGTGCAATTATAATCCCGTAACGTACTTCAAATCTTCATTAGAAACCTTAATTAACGACTGAGATCTTGATAAAAAAATGAAAGTTAAAAACTATTGGGACTGGCGTAGTATAGTTCTTATATGTCGTCGTGTAGACATGTAGATTTATAGAACTTACCCAGCCTTTTAACAGTTTCGAGTCTGGTTTTATTCGGCTCAGAGACTGTCACCTCCCTGTGACCATGATGATGCAGAGTTGAGATCCAGAGATTACCTAGAAACAATAATAATAATGTCTCGAATCCCCTAACAAACAGTGGGGCTTATTTGGAAGCTATTTGCATTGTGCCATACATATGCCATATCATCACTGCCAAGAGTTTTGACTGGTTTTTTTTATGATTAGCGCCTCCCTGACTCTCCCTCAGAAGAAGGAGGTATGTAAATTGGAGAAAGTTAAAAGGTGGAGGGAGCTAGTAATACCTCGAAGTGGCTAAGGTCCAGAATCTGGTGTCCAAAAAGTAACTATTAAGTATATTAACATTAAAAAGTAAATGATTTGATAATAGCTAGAGATTATGTCACGCCCTAGTTTTTAATATAAAAAAATGTACCGCGTCTATCGTTTAGAAAAGATACTGATTTGACTTACTCTGACCGAACCCACACACCCCCACCTACAACATGGGGGGTCATGATTTTCAGGAATACATATTATAATGCCACTTTATTATCTCTATAGCTGGCTTTTTTCTTCCTTAATTAAAAAAAAACAAAGGTATCTTAATTACCTATCAATTATTAAATTTTAAGCCCGTAACATCAAATCAAATACCTAATTTTTTTTGTCTAATCGCCTTTTACATTTTTGCGCTATTATCTCATTTCATATTTAAATGCCGCAGGAAATCTCTTACTAGTTAAAACTGAGATGAAAGATCAATGTATATTGTACCATTGTACTCACCAATTATACCAGCACCGAGGATGAGGATTTTCTGGCCAACTTTGATTGGAGAGGCTCGGTTGAAGCCGTGAGAGACGCAGGAGTAGGGCTCCGTGAGACCAGCTAAAAACGGACGAGCATATTTATTACTGATTGTACAGGCCAGTTAGCTATACTGTAGGATAGTAGTTGGGTAGTTCGTAGTTCATCAAGTATGCAGGCAAAACAGCCAAACGTAAAGTATATTTAAGTAAAGGTAACTAAAAATGTATATATCAGCTAATCTTTCCTTGGTTGTGCTTTGTAAGTCCAATACTTGATAGCGTAATAACTTATAAAGTATTAATTAATGGATTAATTACAATAACAATGCGCCAAAAGTAGTTCGCAGCGTATGTATAAAGAAAATAATGTAAAAAGTAAAAACTATTACGATAGCTAGATTGTACACTGATTATATTGTATATGACTGACCTTTCCGACCCAGTTGAAAATTAGGTAACTAGTAAAATTAGATAATACCTAGAATGCTTGATATTTAAGTAAATAACAACCCTTGTGTTAATGCAATACAGTGCAAAGTTCAGTGACATGGTCCCGTAGATAACACAGTATACAGCACTTTGATACTTTAGTAGCAGTCCAACTCAAAGTCAAACTCAAATATCTTATTTAAAAAAAAAAACAATTATTTGAAATTGACTCTTGTGTAGACTAAGTCATAGATCAACACACACAATAGCAACAATCTCTATTTTGTAAAATATTTAGCAAACTAAATATATACGTATCGAAAATCTCTTATATGCCTGTGCCGATCTATAACCGCCCATTTCCAAGGGGTTGAGCCTCATGAGAAGAAAGAGCAAGCAAACTCATGGCCACTCTTTTTCAATCAACAGATAACAGTGGCATAATTAAATATACAAAACATTGTTTTGATGTGTGCAGGTATGTAAGTTTTAAGGACTAAAAAGTAAAAAGTCAATGAAGAGAAAACAAGATATTGACAAAAGATCGAATCAAAAAGAAAGTGAAGTAAAACATTAACAAATAGAAAATTAAATAAAAGGCACACTAACCCACATCACATTTCCACTACGAACTAGCCTTTTTTTTCTGTGCGGAAATCCCCTCGGATACCACTTACCGGTGGCTATGTCGGACTCGAACCGACTAAAAACCGCACGCCGTCTCGGGTACCAGTAGCCGGGGAACCAGGTGTACCCTAGAAAGGAAATCCCTGGTACCCCGACGTACCTCGGGCCATGTACGGCATGTAGATGACCCCCTCCTGTGTGGGAATAATCCCTTGGTGCTCGCAGCGCGTATTGCCGTCACCCCGGCCTCCGAAGCATCCTTTCCCAGTGATCACCTGAATCAACCAGTATGAGAAGGTCCCGTAATGCCTCTCGTTTTCCTTCTCTTTGCAGTGCCGTTGTTCTAAGTACTTTGCTCCTTTAGTCGGCTCTTACGACACCCATGTGATGAATAGGGATAATGACACTCCATATTCTTAATCCATCACCGATTGGTGACCTCCCTTACTCGGTTACTAACATTCTATCATTACTTTTCACCGAGTGAGTCAGGTTATTGGAGTTCAAGCCTCCCTTCTCCTTAACTCTGGACTGGACACTCAGGGGGTTGTGAACAATGCACTTATGACTGATGACTCAGGTGTACATAGACGGTGATAGTCACTTACCATCAGGTGACCCGTCTGCTGGTTTTCCTCTTATATCATGAAAAGAAAATCGTGTTATAACAAACCTTGCTCAGTAGTAATGCCATCCGGTAATGCGAAGACTTGTTGCTGAGGTACAACACAGTATTCTGCCCACCCACCATCCCTGAAGATGCCGATAGTGCTGTTGATGCCAGCTGATAGGCAATACTGATATTTTCCGTTACGGCAGAAGTCGCAGAGATCACAGGCGCTGGGAAAGAGAAAATGATTCATTACTTCAAGTTTTTTTTTCAAGATTCTTCTTTAGCCGGTTCCTTTTCTTTCTTAGTGAACTGGATGGTGTTTCTCGTACATGGGAAATGGCCGTCTAACCAAGGAAGCAGGTAGGCATGCGATTGTAGTACATACTAACACTACTCAATCATATACATTTCGTTTGTCAGAAAATAAGTGACGTCTGATGGCCCTTGGATCTTGGACTATCCGTTTCATGTATGTTTGTAAAGTACCCTACGACACAGCATATATTCCTAGTGCGGGAGTTGTCTTTAATAAAAAAAAATCTTAACTGATATTTTGATTCCTCTTACTGTAGTAATAACAATAATAATATCTTGGCACATCGCACTCACGACTGTATAATCCAAAACTTGGCAGATATTGTATTATAGTAACCGGAACGCTAATAAACACACTTATATATTCGTAACTACATATATTCACGTAAACGCTCCGAAAAAACGAAGACAGACTAAAATACTTATAATGCCTTTGCTTATTTTTACTCTACTTTACTAATAATAAGACGCAATGAAAACGATGATTGTCCGTGTGGTGACGGATTAAGAATACAGAGTGTCACCACCCCTATTCATCCCGTGGGTGTCGTAAGAGCCGACTAAGGGAAAAAACCACGCAGAACAACAGCACTGCAGAGAGAAGGAAAACTTGACACAAACCCTATACCAACCCGTCTGGCCAGCGTGGTATAGTAGGCCAAAACCTCCTTCCTAAGGAGAGGCTTATGGCCAGCAGTGGACTATTAAAGGCTGTTGATGAATGAAAACGAAATCAAAACAATTTAGTGATCGGGCATCGGGCCAATGTCCTGGGCTCGAGCTATGAAAGCGCTCGAGATTACGTTGAAGACCTGTGAAATGTGTACGGAAAGAAATCCTTCACACCTATAAAACGGCTCTAAATAAAATTGTCAAAGGATCTCTGTGTATATTTTTTACCAGTTAGGATCGATGGCGACCTTCTGTCCAACTTTGAAGATGGAGTTCTTGCCGACAGCAGTGATAACACCAGAGGATTCGTGACCCAGAGGTAGTGGACGATCCTTGCTAGCTGGAAATTCACCCTGGAAAGTAAATTCCCCAGAATTTGGTATAATTAATTGTGGTTGTAATAATATATTTGGTAGCAATAAATAAGATTACTCTTGACGAAAGGTCGGAAGCAACTTCTATACTTAATTCACGATAAGAAGATACGAAAAGACCATGAATTCATGTATTTTGATCGCTTAAAACTACGAACACAAATGGTTCTGGGTCCTAGGTAGAAGTAATCTTGTCAAATCATCAGACATGATGGCTTTGATCTATGATCGACGATAGATCGCTTGCAAGCGCTTTTCTTAGCAGTTATTAATGGAGGTCTAGGACGTCCTACGGCTAAGATAATAATAAAGATAACATTTATAGGTTTTTATCGCTTATGGGAAAACTGGCGATGTTGAGATTTCTGACAGAAAACTTAGTAAACCAACCTGTATAATGTGTAGATCAGTACCGCAGATACCAGAATATTCAATCTTCACGATGACCTCATCATCATTTGAGATCTTGGGCAAGGGATAGTCCTTCTGGTACTTTAAGGACAAGGTCTTTCCATCAAATACTACAGCCTCCATCTTATGTCTGGAACAAAAGCTGTCTTATTAAGGCCATAGGAACTTATTTTTGGTGTCGATGGCCGGTGACATGATGAAAGGCGGTGACGTAATTCTTACAATGCTCTTATTATTCTATCATCATCGTGGAAAAGCTAAGCTAAGTTTCAGCACATAAAAGGCTGGGACGGCTCCACCAGAGTTACTGAAGTCCCAATCTCCTGGAAATTTCTGGCGTGGGCACTCAAAGGGACTTCTGACTGAACTTACTGGTTGTTTGTTGCTTTTTGGCACTATGCGGTAGTGACCTGCCATCAGGTGACCAGTCTACTAGTGTACCCTTTATGCCATAAAAAAAAAAAACAGTTACACTCCGGGAGTGCCGACGAAAGTGAAAACTTTTATACCAATATAAAGTGGTGTCTTTAACGGTAACAGTGTCGAGAGTTCAATTGTTTTTTCCCATATCAAAAAATGCTTAACGCGCCTAAAGTTTTCACTTCAACAAAGGTGTCGGTAACGGTACCAGTGTCGCGAATTTAATGGTTTTTATCCATCTCAAAATGTGTTTTTTGTTAAACCATAAAATACATTATTTTGTTTTGTTGTTGTTTTTAATTTAGCCATGGTGCGGGCCATGCAAGGTATTCACCTCGTGGACCGTATACCAAACGTCGAAATTCAACGCCTCACTAGGCTTTAGTGGAGGTTTCGAATCGAAAATAAAACCTTACTTTTGGGTAGCCCATTTGTAGAGGAAGGCTTACAGGCTATAACATCACGATACGACTAATAGGTGCCAAGCGTTAAATGTCCATTTTTTAAACAAAATGCAGACAACGTTTCGCGTTTTTCAATAAATATTCATTATAATTCATTTAACCATTCACAAAAACGTTTTATCCGGTGTTACATGTAATAAACATAGGTACTCGTAGGTACAGTATTTTGTTATTTTTATCTATACATATTCCACTTGAGGATAAAAACTAACAAGTGATTAAAACTATAGGCATACGTGTCTCGTATATGTGATTACATACAAGGCACGTTTTAATATTGTATGATATCTAAGATAATAGTTTTATCTTTCAGTAGTCGTGTCATTATTACAAATAGAGTAACAGTTGAAAAAGAAAAAAACACACAGTATGCCATCATCAACAGCCTATAACAGTCGACTGCTGGACATAGGCCCTCCTTAGAAAAGAGGTTTTGGCCTACTATACTACGCTCGCCAGACGGGTTGTATAGGGTTTGTCTTAATTTTCCTTCTCTTTGCAGTGCTGTTGTCCTGCGTAGTTTGCTCCCTTAGTTGGCTCTTACGACACCCACGGGATGAATAGGGGTGGTAACATTCCGTATTATTAATCCGTCACCACACGGACTGTAAGTCAAGGGACCTTAAAATCGGACATGCTCTTGTTTTTCTAATCAAACGTTTGTGCTCATTTTTACAAATGTGTTAGTATCTGGATCAATCAGGAGGATTAAAAATTCCACATAGTTTTCTAGAAATAAAAAATTTAAATTAATGAATTTACTCTTTTAAAACAGGGATTAAAATTCTTATTCAATAAGTAATAGCATTTAACTCGTAAACGCTACACTATTACATAGAACCCTTAAAATCACAAGTAATACGCGTTTCATAGTCTTCGTAAATGCTTGTAGGTAATCGGGATAAATATGTTTCTTTATTTCAGTTTTTATTTTTAAAGGAAAACTTCTTTAGGCGCATTGCGCATTTTTGAACAACAAACAAAAGAATGTATTTTTTGAGATGGAGAAAAAACCATTGAACTCGCGACACTGTTACCGTTACCGACACCTCTGTATTTATTATACATATATTGGCCACGTTTAAATACATTGATATTATAACTATATAAAATATAAACATATATTGTGTATATACGTACAACATAGATATATATTCACGTCGGCACTTTACGAATGCCTGCCTGCCTGAAACTTTACGAAGGACTGCCACATAGAAAGGTCACTCTTTTAATATTTTTTTACTAAATTCTATTTTTATTTTGTTAATGCTTTACCATATTTATACTCGTATATAGATATTTGCAAACTATATATATTGCGAACTTAAACTTAAATTTAAAGCAAAATAACTAAATATAAAAATGTTCATAAAATGAAAACTACTGGGCCTAACTATGTAAAATTTTTATGGAACCAAATGGCAACTATTCCGCATCAAACTAAAGAAGAATCACGTAAATCGGATCATAAATCTCAGAGTAATCGGTGTACATACATAAAAAAAATATATACCAATCGAATTGAGAACCTCCTCCTTTTTGAAGTCGGTTAAAAATACAGATATTTACACAAATGCGTTATGCTTTTTTAATAGTACTGATGTTTCAATATTATTAAAAGGACTGTGGAACAAAGAAACAAGCAGATCCAAGATGGGATCCAACAAAAAATTTTAAACAATACAATTTTTTTACACACCTTGTCGAGGGAACATCTGTTCGATGATATTTTTAATCACTAATTCGTAAAAAGTTTATATTTTTAGTGAAGGTTGTAACTATTTTTTCACATGACATAGATATTATTTTTTATGGTAAGGTCACCTGATAAGTGACTACCGTTGACTGTGACTGACTAGCAGATTTTTACAGTATTGTGCAGGGACTATCTGTGCTTTGTGTGCATGGGGAAGGGAGCACAGATTACCAGACATTATCATGCTCGGCCCAGTCTAAAGCCTGTCCAGCCTGCGCTTCGAGAAATCGCATCCTGCAATCTCCAGCATCTGATAAATTTTTGACGTGACAAGAGAGTTATAAATCTTTCTTTCTCTTTCCCCGTCTCTTTAGCGTACGCTCTCTCTCAGGCTCTCTCATTTTATACAATAACACGAGCACGTGGTATTTATTATTAACATATAAGATGGCGTAGTGTTTTAAGCGGTCACCTTGCTTTCTATTGCGCTGAGTGTTGGGGGTGCGATCCCTACATAGGACAAAACTTTGAGTAATTCACAAATTGTTGTTCTGAATCTGAGTGTTCTTTGTGTCCGTTTCATGAATGCTTGTAAAGTCACCCGCAGCACAGGATATATTCCAAGTGCGGGAGATGTCTTTAAAAATATATAAATAAATGTACTCACATGCGTTATCCAAGCCGTTCTATATCACACTGTTACATTCAATAGATTAGTATTATACTGTTATGTAACTATGATAACGTTAAATTCCCCGCTTACGACCAATATGGCCATGATTTTGAGCTTCGTGAGACCGGTTTTAAGTCGTTTTTATAGTTAACAACACTAATATGCACTTGTAACGTGAACTTTTTTTGCTGAACTGCATAAAAAAAGGAATTTTCCATTCATCGAAACCTTTTCTTATTTGCATTTTCATCAGATCAGGATCTCAAGACAGAACCCTAAGAAAGTTTAGGGAAACTGCTCAAATATTACACACACACACTGATAGCGTTTCGAGTTGTATGTAAAGTAAAATTCATGAATCATTTTAATGTCATTGGTGAATCATTTTAATGTTATTCGTGAATCAATAATCCATATTTTAGCAAATAAACTTGAATTGAATATCGTCGTAACCAGGCTGTGTTTTTTCTATCCCATAATTCTTTAAAAATAGTGTGCTACTTATATAATACTTTAAACCTTAACATTAAATTAATAAATCGCTGTTAAGCTGTCCCTTTTTATAATATATATATTTTTTAAACAACCTGTGTCAAATTCCACTCACAGACATCACGAAAATAATCAGCGCCATCTAGTGACGCCAACCCGAACTAATTCTGCACGAATGACACAATCATGCGTCCTGCCTCGCGCAATGCAAGTCACAATGAAGTTTCAAAACTTGATCCCCTAGCTTGTTTTTTTTCTTTTTTAACCTACACTCCAAACCGAAAAGAAATTGTAAATAATTTCCAGATTTAATCAAAATGAAAGTCACCGTCCAAACACGCGACTTGCGTGGTTGTACGACAGTCAATAAGATAGTATTATCTAATAATATAATTGACTTGTTTTTAATGACACCGAGTTAGATAAATGTAAAGAATTTATTTGCCATATGAATTTGGTAGGTATAAAGTCCACTGTACCACTGATTGACTCAGATGTTCACTGGGCACGATTGCTTCGGTGAGTATCTCAATCGAATTGGACAGGAGGTCACGGCAGAATGCCACCATTGTGGCACCCAGCACACGCTGGCCCCAGACTGCCCCCAGTATTGATCGCGGCAATGCTGGCGAGTGGCAAGGGATGAGCAGCCACAGTCTCTTTTTGCGAAGACGTTATGCTCCAGGAGGAGACCGCAGAGCGGGATGAGGGCCGATCCCGCTCGAAGGAGGCAGAGGTCACTAGTTCCCCAATCGCCGCCTAAGGGTTGCTGCGGTCACAATTTGGGGCCATGTGGCCGCTGCAAACGACCCGAGATAAATGACACTCCGGTGTGGCCGGAGGGGTGTATGGACTACACCCCTCCGGGCAGGGCGCTGTTGTGCCTCTTACTGTGTAAGTGAGAGGCGCGGCAACGTCCCGCCCCGGGATGTGAGTCGAACATGGGGAACGGCAGGGAGGACTCCAGAAGCCGCCGATGCGTTCCTGGAGCTCCTCCCGACTACCGAGGTAGGTCGTCGCGGGGTTTAGTGGGTAGACTGGTTGTCCGGGAGTCTTACACACGCCATCCGTTGCCCCAATGGAGAGTATGTGGTGCGAAAAGCATTCCCCGCATAAAAAGAACGGCGTGAGGGATCTATGGACCCCCGATCAAAAAACGAAGAAGTAGATAATAGGTAAGTTATACTTACTAGGTAAAGTTTTTGATTTAATTAGTTAGAAAAAGTCGCACATTTTTAATAAATAAGGGAGTTTAGGGAGTTTTTGTCCTAAGTTTATTTTTTTAAATCGGTTCATTTTTTTTTATAGAATTATTTATTTTTCCATTTTTAGTGTAAATAATCATAGTAGTAGGTTCTACTACTATGATTATTGATAC